TAGACAGTCTAGAAGCAGTACACTACTGTAACTACTAAATAACTAGAAAAATATGTAAACTTCGATGGAAATTACTAGGTTTCAAACTATATTAAACTAAAATACAATTTAGTCAGTTAGGATTTAGCAATGATAGCTTGTGTAAGAATGATCGGGACTGCCTATTGCTAAGAGCCTAAATATGCCCCCAGCTCTTTATTATCTACATGGATTCCTTAGCTGTCACGCTAGCACAATTTAGGCCCAAGCTCCTCCGCTCTTATTTATTTGTCGATGACACACGGATCCAAGCCCCTCAATCGGTTTCGCTCCAGCCCTTCTTAGATGACATTGATGCGTGGGGACGCAAATCTGGCCTTGAACAGGGTGTCATTAAACCCCGAGTACGATCTACCGACTTGCGACACGCGGCGCCAACCCTCCGTATAAATGGTGAGCTTATCACGCCGACGCTTGCAGATGCACCTTGGAACACACGTTACCTCCCTCTGAAACTGGCGCCCACACATGCCGAACCGAAACACTCCAAATACCTGGGGTTCCCACTCTCTCACGGAGTACCAGGAATCAACCTCGCTAGAAATATAGAATCCCTGGTTGCAGCATTGTCACTGGGTATCGCCTCTTTCCGCGCTTATGGCTTCCATGGCTTCAGCTGGCGACACCCCCGCAACCGACTGGTGATGTTCAAAACATTCATCCTATCCACGGCTACATATGGGCTGAACATTATTGCCTGGGCTCCGCCTATATGGAAAGATGCGTTGGACCCCCTATTCGAGCGCTTTAACTCAGCACTCATCCAAACAGTAGCCATCATAACAGGCACTAAAATACCCTCGGTTTCCCAAACATCAAACAAACTTACTTCACTTTTGCGGCCTGCTCCCCGCGCGACCATTCGCGGACTACCTCGGAGGTTGCCTGAGAATAAAAATCGACTCAATGGCAAGCACAAATCCACTTACCTCTCTGACGCAACCCGCCTGGGCCCACGATAAACCATCACTGCGCTTCCCGTACAGTATCTATTCTCACCTGAAAACTGTACACAAAACCACGGGCGGGCGTACACCCGACCAGGTAGCCCTCCGCCAACGCTGTGACGACATCAGGAAGAACTCAACAAAACGTTGGTCCAACAAGGAGATCGCGGCAATGGCCCGGCGTCAATACTACTACCAACTGGTTATGGGTAAACCGCCAACCTCAAACCGAGACACAGTCAGACACGACAGCTTCAATCGCTGCTTCGAGCCTACACCAATCCGGCTCTGTGCTATGATTGTAACGAATACGTACATGTTCACATTGCTCGACTACCGGACCGACGGCTGTCTCTGCCCTGTCTGCGCCAGTAGCCACAAGTTCACTACCAGCCACTTTACCTGCATCCAACAACTGATTCGACGCATCCTGGTAGGCCCGAAACTGCCGCCCATTGGCCCTGACCTCCTTCAGCAATTACAGGAGTGCCACGACTTCTACGGTATCTGGACCCTCCACGAACACCTTGTATCTTTTCTCCAGCATGTTGAAGAACCACCGTACCCTCACCCGTCCCTGACACATCAACAGATATTCTCCATACCCCGGCTAATCACGCTGTTGAAGTACTACTTCCAAATATCGGTTCAAACCAAATCATCGCGCTTGTTGGTTCCGACAATGATACTTCCGATCAAGGCCAGCCAACACATACCGAATTCATCCGTGGTCTGGTGCGGTATTGGCTTACCCCCATACTCGCTTCTCTACCGGATTATGACGGATAACCTGGCCCTTCTCGGTATTTCGTACTCTGCACTAACCCATTCCGCGGCACTACACGGCGCAGACCCGGTCCGTACCACAGAGGTGGGTACTCTACTTAGTAGTTCAGCAAGCGACTATGAGAGCCATACCATATGTTCATACATTGTATCATACATACTTGCCATTTTTGAAATAAATAATATTATCCCTATGTGAGACGAGATTTTTTCTAACAGCGGCAGATTGCAAAAATCTCCGTACAATCCAAGATTATGGTATCCTAGTTACTAAATAATGATGACATCTGATGAGTCATCATTATTATTCTACTCATCAACTCTACGATCCGGTCCTCTGGTCCGATCCTCAATTTAAAAATCCTCTTAGGCCTGGTCCTCTGGTCCGGTCCTAAATTCCTCTTGTCGGTCCGGTCCCCTGGTCCAGTCCTAAATCTCCGTCTACTGTTGTACTTTGTCCACAATAGGCCTATATCGATCATACAGCTCGGGCAATCGTCACGGAAAGTCAAATAGCTCTCAATCAACATTAGTAAGTAGCTAAAAGCTACAGTAAATGCGAGCTGCAAGCGCGTGGATATATTACCACCGATCCTTTAGATTCTTTAGAATTTTTTAGCTATAGATGTTAGAAAAGTTACCACAGGAGGGAATAAAGGGATACACAAATACACGTAGCAAAATTATTACTCATCCAACATACAGTAGATTACATCTGAAGATGCACTTCTCTCTTCCACTTATTCACTTGCATTGTACTGCGTGGCGAACGCGTATACAACACCAAAAAATAGCCAAGAAACGCTAAAGAAATAAAGTAAAAAATATATATATTGCCCACGAACTGTTCGAAACACGGAAACAGATTTGATGACGAGTTGGAGACAATACTATTTATTACCCTTTTTGGAGTGAGAGAGTTGTAAATTCTTCATTTTATACACGCAGGTCACAGACTCACAGACTACAGGAACAAAGTAGAGCAGTCCGCAGTCACATCGACCATTCGACACACCTGAGTCCTGAGACTCCTGACCAGCAGGAGAGTCTGGAGTTCTGGACACTGGAGCAAACCTCATTAAGTTTCCCGTTAAAACGTTAAAAAAGTTTACGTTCAAAGTTCATCTGAAATATAGTCCTATGAGTTTACAAATAGGTACATTTTTTGAGGCGGCCTAACTGTCACGAATTGTCCTATTTTTCACTTTGTGTCACTTGGGAATGGTTTCAAATCTTCTTTTCATTGAAAAAGATCAATTTCTCAGGTGCAAATTTGGAAATTTTCTTGGTCGATTTGCCCCCGATATGCCTTAAAACGCTTAAAAACAAAACTTTTTGCGTTTACGTTTAGTTTACGCATATAGGCAAAACATAATGAGCTCAGCTCAGTCTGGAGAGATCAATCATAATATTCGGATTTTTCTTAGATCTGATCCGAAGACCGGCTTATAAGGCATATTGTACCGCTGCTATATACCTGTTGTTGCATTCTAAAAATAAACCAATGCGTAGTTGCGCACATTGGCACCCTAAATATAGTTTTTTTTAAAAGAAAAATATATAGGAATATTTTTAGAGGGCTATGATTATTGATAATAATAAATAAACATACATGACTGTCCCTCCTCTCTCTCTCTCTACTACTACATACTCAATTTAATGGAGAGAGAGACTAGCTATGTAAATAGTAAATAGTAGTAGAAGAGAGAGAAAGAAGAATTAAGAAAATATGGCTGGTCCGTTCTCCGTAGGACAAATATTTTTTTCTTCTTCCACAATAGTTTTGACTTTTTGAGGTTTGTCCTCTTTTTCTACTTCATACTACTCTCCCTCTGTAAAAGTGTCTCTCTCCTAATGAGTCTCTCTCTCATCTTGAGAGAGAGAAGAGAGAGTAGGGGGGGGGGGGGTGGACAGCCTGGCGCCTGGAACCTGGAGGCTGGGCCAGGGAGTGGTGGGCCCCGCCGGTGGGGTGGTGGATAACACATGAGGTAACTGGTAAGTGTCTGACCTGAGTGATGAGTCTGAACTCTGGACTCTGGACTCTGGAGTGACCTGGACTCTGGAGTCTGGACTCCCGGGAGTGGTGTTGACACTTGGACGTCTTGAGTCTACTAGTCTACACTCTTCTACATAATCACTTGACATTTGGCACTTGACAGCTGAGTCACCCGAGTGCCGACTGGTCCAGGTGGTCCTGCTGCTCTTGCACTCCTGCGAAATACCCTATTTTTGCAAAACAAAACGATCCGAAGTACGGGATGAATCCCTGAGTTGGCGCCATAGTTTTTATAAACGTTCGGTACATACTCCAGAAGAAGTGTACAAGAAGAAGAGCTATTTGATGCTCATCAGCATTTACGTCACTTTCTTTAGCGTCGTTTGTGGCTTGTCTGATTGGATTAAAGCTATCTTTCACTTTTAACGGGTTGAATCTTTTTCCCGACAAAATTGACCAATCCTATTTAGTTATTCAAAGTTTGATAAAAGTTTTTTTTAGAAACTTTGATGATGACTCATGGATAACTGTCCATATTTTGTGGCTTGGCCAATAATGGCGCCTAATATATAAAAATACTACGGAATGTTGGGGTAATTTCTCCTTCTTTTTTTTGTTCGGTCGCTAGATTTTCCATCGCCGGCTTCAGCCTCTTGTTTTTGAAAAAATAAAGATACATAGTTGACTCTTTTTCTCTAAGAGCATTTACATAGTACATAAATCGTAGTGATAGTAAATCATTTCAGTCGCATAAATAAACGTCTAACGTAAATATGTTTTTAGTATTTATTTTTTTGCGTATGAAAACGATACATACAAAGGTCAGACAAAAGCCTGCTCTGGGAAACATCGGTACATTTTTAATTGTTGAACGTAAACAGTTGTTATTCTTTTGAAAAAAAATATCGGGTTCAAACATATATTAAACGTTTTGAGCTATGATTTTGGGTCATTGTATGACTATTTAGCGTTTCGACTCCTGTCTGTGACTTTTGTTCCCACAAACCCCTGAGTATTGGGTTTTGGTTAAAGTACGCAGAATTGCTTCATTTGTACTTCAAGTTGTAAGTTGTAACTGTATATATTTAGTGTTGTTCTTCGTCATGCGCACATTTACGATTGCAGGGTAATCACAATAATCGGTCACATCAGCACTTCTACCGATAAGCCACACGCCAACAGTATAGTTTTGATCATCTTATCATACTACAGTTGGATACTTGTGTTGATCATCTTATCATACTACAGTTGGATACTTCATATAAACATCCGGTGTACGCTACTCTAACGATCAAATCCCAGCAACCACAAGTCTCTGAACTAAAGATTCACTGTTCTTGCCCATTTCTGCTGTGTAACTTGTAGTTACCGGTTGCAGCGTTCTATATAACTTAACACCTAGTATCCAATTCGATGGTGTCAACGGTTTGCTCAGATGTCAATGCAGGAGATTTGGTTGCCCTGCTGGGTGCACGTGATGTGGTATGGCATATGTTGCTTCTAAGATGAATCCGACACCCGTTGAGTTTAAAGTAGTATTGTGTGTTTTAGTATAGAATAATAGTAGAACTGTCAGGGGATAGGGTACGGCTTTTTGTCCTTTTCTGCTATACTAAGCCCCTTGATATCTGAATGTGTCGCACTGGTCCTGGTTGTGCGTCGGTTAATCCTTTGCCCCGTTACCTACAATGCAGCGAATCGTTATATCAATATTTGGTGCCGATTCTACGCGGTATACGGTACTCCGAATAACCGGCTGCATTCATGTTATTTTTTAAAAGTAGGGCGCATGCTTGAATGCTCTCACTGGAGCATCGAAACATTTGAGAAATACTTAACATTTCACAGCATATGCTTCTGAAGTTCCCAGCAGACTTATCCGTCACACGTGATAAGTTTCTTAGGTATATTATGCGGATTGCAGTATACTTATCGATATCATATTATACGTTTTTTAGAAAGCTACATTGGATTCTAGTTTCGGTGGTGTCGATGGCCTCGTAAAAGCACTCCATGCCGATACCGAAAATGGGCTCTCTGCAGAGGATGACGAGGATATCAAAGGCCGGTATGTGTGAGGATATCAGATTAGCCAATACTGTATCTGAGTCTTGAGAAAATCAATCGTAAGCCTCTGCAGTTGCTAATCATGAGGTCTACTATTGGCGAACATGCAGTATGTACTGGGCCGTCCCTCCAGCCGGGCACATAGAATACCCAGTCAAATGATTGTTTTCGGTTAAATGATTGATCAACTGACGATGTGTCGTTCATTTATTGGATACTCCACATACTAATCGTTTATGCATTGCACCTCCAGAGCTGATGATTTCGGTGACAATCGGGTGCCTTCCCCGCCGCAGCGCTCTTTGCTGTTGCTGATGTGGGATGCCTTGCATGACGTGACGTTGGTGATTTTGCTTGTTGCCGGTGTCATATCTCTGATTATAGGGCTGACTGTTGAAGAGGTAAGCAGTCATGGGAAGCAGTCATGGGAAGTGATTGTATCTGCGTGTGTATCCCGTTGACCTGAGATTGAACCTGGGCTTTGATTAGCTTCTGGGTTCTAACACCTCTTTAACATTTTTGTCTCATGCACAGGACAAGAGCATTGCGTGGATTGAAGGCGCGTCCATTTTGGGCGTAGTGGCGATTGTGGTACTTGTCGATAGCATAAACAACTACCAGAAGGAGAAACAGTTTCGCGAGTTGAACAACGTGAAGGAGGACGAGAAAGTAAACGTCTTACGCAGTGGTAATGTTTGCCAGATATCTAAGTTTGACGTAGTGGTTGGAGATATTATCTGTCTGGAACAGGGCGCTGAGGTGGTTGCGGATGGTATCATCATCGATGCCCACTCACTTCTCATCAACGAAAGCTCGCTCACTGGAGAGGCTGACGATGTTGCAAAGGTGTGTACCTGATATTTCAATCAGTCCAACACTAGAGTATTTGTATTTTTGGATCAGCTCAGCACTTGTGTATCATGTTTTTGCATATCTTGCATAGATTGTTTATTGTTCCGCTGTTTCTTGGGAAGTACTGGAACAATACCTATCGCATCATCTGTAGTGGTTCTATGGTGTATTGTGTACTATGCGAGTGTGATCCCACTTGGTACGTTATACGATCTCACGATTTGTGTATCCTGAAGGTTTGATTCAAGATGGCATCACTGCTGGATATCTGAACCGTGTGTTCCTTGACTGATCCCTTTGTGTTATGTTGTCATGTCATCCAGATCCCTGACTCGGCAAGCATGTTAGTGCTCAGTAGCACTTTAGTCATGGACGGAGTGGGCCGTATGCTGGTGCTGGCGGTGGGTGAGAATTCGCAGGCGGGTATCATTAAAATGCTTTGCACCGGAATGAAACGCACCCACGTGCTACCAGCGACTTCCATTGGAGATGACGCCGCACCGGTATGTTGTTTACCAGCTGTACTTCGTTGTTTGAGATACTCTGATAAAGTGTGATGCCCTAAGTTATTAGTATGTAGCTTTATGCGGTTTGGTATATTTGTCGCTCACTCGTAGTCTGATGTTTGTGCATTACAGCCTGTGCTCACTGAGAAGGGCGAGGCACTGAAGGACAAAGTATTGGGCTCAGAAACTGTAGCACAAGTAGCAACCATCGATGTCGATGGATATCAATCCAATGATGTGCTGCAAAACGTACCCGGAAGTGATAATAAGAATTCAAAGCTAGTTGCGAAGGCCAGTGGTACCGTTGATAATGGTGACGAGTACGAGAAAGAGGAGGTGGTGGTAAGCCAAGATGGGCAGACTGCGCTGGAAACGAAGCTAGAGCGTCTAGCCATTCTCATCGGTTATGTTGGTTTGGCTGTCGGTAAGTATTGTGCTTGGCCTGTGAGACGATGTCTTTCATTGGCTGGCTCGGTATCGCTCTTTGTACATATTTATCCCATACGCATGTTTTTCCTTGAGTACGCGTTCTCTATTGCCTTCTGACATCGACTTATCTGTGTAATCCAGGTACACTCACTTTCGTCGTATTATCTGTGCGATTCTGCATCGAGGAGTACCCCAATCGCGGATGGGAGAAGGACGACTTTTCCGAGTTCTTGGACTTCTTTATCATTGGTATCACCGTGTTGGTGGTTGCTATTCCCGAGGGGTTACCACTAGCCGTCACATTGGCTTTGGTATGTACAGTGCACGTGGTGTCGTTGTGAGGTTTCTGATTTTGTGCGCACTCCTTAGGGTTTTAGGGCTTTAGAATCATATCTGGCTGAAACGATACATAGACTTAGTGGCTGCTTTGTTGAGTTTGATGCTTGCTTAGTATGAAATATACGGAGGCTTTGTCACTTCAGCGCAAATCGACCTAAATTAGTAACTGTCTGTCATCTTTTGCGTCACGGCACTTTCTAATTCCTGTAGGCTTTCAGTATGAAGCGCATGTTGAAGGAGAACAATCTGGTGCGCCATCTGCATGCTTGCGAAACAATGGGCAGTGCTACGGTCATCTGCAGTGACAAGACCGGAACGCTCACAACGAACTCTATGACGGTGGTCAAGGCTAATATATGTCAAACTGAGCTGAAACAGAAGGTATGGTATGTCCTCCTTCTCTTGGCCTATCGTTTTGCTCCCTCGTATATATCGTTTACCATCAAAGTTTATTAATACAAACCCGCATTCCACTGGATTCTCATCCCAATTTATTTTGCGCCGTAAAACAGGAGTCCTGCCAATCAAAGGGCATCTCTGCCGAGGCCACCCAAATCCTCCTGAAGGGTATTGCGGTCAATACCACAGCTGAAGTGCAGGCGCCCGAGTCCGGTGTGGGTCCCACCGAGTATGTAGGTAACAAGACGGAGTGTGCTCTGCTGGACCTAGTGTGTGCGCATGAGGGGAGTGACTATCGTGAGGAGCGATCCAAGGCCGAAGTACTGCGCTTGTGCCCTTTCTCCTCGGAGAGAAAGTGCATGTCTGTCGCCATCCAACTGGAGGGTGAGCCTGACACCAGTCGCGTGTACTGTAAGGGGGCGAGTGAGATTGTGTATGGCCGGTGCACTAAGCAGCTGACGAAGGACGGGTGCGTTGTGGATATCACTGCGGCTGACCGTGCTATGATGGATAAGATGATCACGACATGGGCGAGTGAAGCCCTGCGCACCCTGTGTTTGTCGTACAAGGACGTCTCAGCGAGTCTGGCGGCGGATCCGGAGACCACCCCAGTGCAGCTGGAAACTGATTTGATCTGCATTGGAATCGTTGGTATTGAAGACCCAATCCGACCCGAAGTACCGGTAAATCATATGAACTTTGCACAACTGACGTATATGCAAGTGTATATACTGATATGTAATGTAGTTGTCATTTCAATTCCTCCGCCGGCAAGGATGTATAGATCTGTCAAGAGTATGCATAACCCATATGCTCGTTCGACCTTATGTGTTGGTCATCAGGTTCTAATCCTATTTCGGTTTTATTACCACTTAGGATGCTATCGCTATCTGCAAACGAGCGGGTGTGGACGTGAAGATGGTCACCGGTGACAATGTGTCTACTGCCCGAGCTATCGCCAAGCAGTGTGGTATCTTGACGGATTCCCCTGATGAGCTAGTTATGGAAGGAAGAGGTATGTGTTCTCTCTTTTCTTTTTCCTGCCGTTGTTGACTTGGTAGTAGTATGGCGGTGATTGAATTGTTTCAGCACTTGAACTGCGTGCTGTGTTTGATTACCGTTGTTGTGTTCATATATAGCCAACAATCTACTTGTGTTCCCTGCAGACTTCCGATCACAAATCCTCAATGCGAATGGGAGTATCAAGCAAGATGTGTTCGACACGCTATGGCCCCGAGTGAAGGTACTCGCACGTTCATCTCCCGAGGACAAGTACAACATGGTCAGAGGTCTGAAGGCCACTGAGGTAGTACCACAGGTCGTAGCTGTTACTGGTGACGGCACCAACGATGCACCTGCACTCAGACAGGCGGACATAGGGTTTGCGATGGGTATTCAGGGCACTTCTGTGGCCAAGAGTGCCTCAGATATTATCATCCTGGACGACAACTTCAACTCCATCATCTCTGCGCTCAAGTGGGGCCGTAATGTGTACGACTCGATCTCCAAGTTTGTGCAGTTCCAGCTTACTGTGAATGTAGTCGCCCTGGTCGTGGCTTTTACAGGCGCGTGCATTGTGCAGGAGTCCCCCCTCTCCGCAGTGCAGCTGCTGTGGGTCAACCTCATCATGGACACGCTGGCGTCGCTGGCTCTGGCGACTGAACCCCCCACGGATGCGCTACTACTGCAGAAACCACACAGTCGCACTAAGGCGCTGATTAGTCGAGGCATGTGGCAGTTCATCTTTGGCCACTCACTGTATCAACTGGTCGTGACGTTCTTTGTGTTGTTCGCGGGTCCCAGTGTCTTCGGTTATGCCAAGGGAGAGACATTCGACGGGGAGCCCAACGAACACTACACCATGGTGTTCAACGTATTCGTGTGGTGTCAGCTGTTCAATGAGGTCAACGCGCGGAAGCTGCATGGAAGTATCCGGGTGCTCGATGTAAGTATTGGCACACATTGTTGAAGACGGAATTCTTTTCTTTTGTCGGAAATTTTAGTTTTTTTTGTTTTCTTGCGATATATATATATATATATATATATATATATATATATATATATATATGTGTGTGTGTGTGTGTTGTGATATATATATATATATATATATATATATACTCTCTCATACGTTTTCCTACTTTATACACATGCAGGGAATCCTCAACAACAAGGTATACATCGTCGTCATGATCGTGCAATGTATCTTGCAAGTGTTGATTGTGACGTATGGTGGTCGAGCGTTCGGGGTTGTTGCCTTGCCCATTGAGTTATGGGGTTACTGTATGCTGCTTGGTTTTGGGGAGATGCCTTGGAACGTGGTTGTGCGCAAGTGCCCCAAGTTGCTCCCAGAGAGCTGGAGAACACATCTGAAGAAGCCTTTACCGTAAGTTGACTGACCTATAGATTAGTATTGTTGCTTCGTTTGTATTCGCGACACTCGATGTGATGTGTATATCCACCCAAGTACTTGTCGGTATATCCCATGCATGCTTTGCGTTTCGCCAAGTTCATGAATTCTGCAATCATTCAACATATGCTTTCTATTGTCTATCGCAACAGGAGACCCTTCTTCTTGAAATCAAAGTCAAAATCCGGTGGGGCCAAGGATTTCCGCGAGGAACAAGACGACGCTGAGGGTGATATTAGGTTGATTTCTACGTCGCCGAATAAGATGGATGAATTGTTCCCTCAGGTGAGTTCACTCCAGTAAAGTACGCCTGTATGTGTAATCGCTTGTACAACATTAATATAAATCCGTATATCTCCCGTGTCTTGTTATTCTAATTCATTTCTCGTACTTACCCCGCCTCTCCACACCATCGCAGAATCGACACATGAGCATGTACGAGTCCGCTCTGCTGGTGATTCTGTCCAATACGAAACAGCCCAAGGTGCGTTTGCAGACGGCCATATGTCTGGTACAAGAGCGCCGGCGTGCAATGTCAGAGAACAGTGTGCCCAGTGACGATGATGGGCTAACTCCAACGACTGTGTGAAGTATTACTATATTACTATTTTAAACTCAGTACATCCAGTTTTTGAGAACCAATACTAGCAGATAAAACGGCCTTTGGAGTGCTGTGCTGTGTAGAGTATGCTGGGATTTTGCTGGCGATTCCTTATGTACAAACCAGTACACACACATACAATACAAACCTACAACCCGATACTCTTTAATGGTTGGCGGCACGGACAATAGAAGCGCTCATATCTGTGCTGACGCAGTCACACTACCATTGCGGATATCAAAGCAGAACCAAAGTTATAGTGCGCCCATACTTGCGCAAATCAGACGATTTAATTGTGAATAAAATATGTACATAGCACCCACTTGCAAGTAACTTCTATTTGATGTCGCATTTACTTACAGCGCGAGGATTCTTGAGTTCTCTGCGTAGTTCTCTGCTGCATATTATAGTTGTCACTTGTCGGCGCTAAACACATCGTTAGCGGTTAATTATATTTTTGGTTTTTTAGCATAGTCGTCTGTTGCATATATTAGTTGTCACTTGTCAGCGTTAAACATGACACATCGTTAGAAGTTATTATAATCCAGCTACCTCAACCAGGCCGCAAAGATTACCATAGTGTTTGTATATGAAATTATTTTCATGTCACATGTGTGAAATTGTTTTGAATTTCGCGATATGCCGTTGGTGGGCGCTGAGAGTACCGATATTTATGACAGTACTGAATGTTCATGACTCAACTAGCCAATCACGTACATATACATACACGCACATACATACAATACATATACATACATACATACATACAATACATATACATATGTACACCTGATGGTCTAATGTTCGTCCATAAATTCCTGTGGCATTAATATACTAATTTGCAATGGCTCTACTTGTCAGTCCCGTACATATACATACATGTACGTGA